AGAGGGACATGGAGCGCTTAGTTCCGGCCCTGATACGGGGAGCTGGGGGCGTGGGGGAGGTTTGATCCACCCTGGGGTGGTATGAAAAGTCCTGGGTTCAGGCAGCTGAAGCTGTATTCATGAATCTCCGTGAATTGGTGTAAGGGTGCACTTGTCACAATCCCAGAGGCATCTGTGATTCAGAGAAGGAGAATGGCCGCTGGGCCAGATGATCCTCCAAGGCCCCTTCCAGCTCCCAAGCCTGCAGTTCTGTGACCATATAAGGCCACTGGACCTGGGTGTCTCACTGCAGCTGAGCACAGCCCAGACAGCCGGGAGCCCAAAGCTGCAAAGAGGAACTGAAGGCAGGGGAGTGGGTCCCTCTTGTTGCTTCTTCCCAGAAAGCTCAGACCCTCTCAGACCAGCCACGGCCAGCCCCGCCTCTCCCCATTCCCCTTGGCATCGCCTTCCTCGCTTTCATAACCCGACGTCCAGAGTCCCGCCCGTGGCTCCCGCCCAAAGTTGAACACGCAGGCTGCAGAGTCAGGCCTGCTTTCTTGCTCCCCGACTTTTCTGGTTTGGTGGCTTCAGACACCTCTCCAGAGGCCCCAAGTTTGGGGGGCTTGGTGTCCCTTTGCTCCCCCGCTGTACAGGCTTAAGAAGCCCGGCAGATACGCATGCCAAGCAGGCCCGCTTTGTGAGCGCCGGGGGGGCAGGGCTTGTGCTGTTGTGTCCACTTTTCCTAAGTGCTGTCCAGGCCCCGGCGCTGTGAGGAGGGAGGCAAAGGGAGATGCAGGAGGGTGAGATGCAGGTGCCACCTCCAAAGACTCGGGCTGGCGGAACAACAGAATCAATCAACAGTCTCCAGTGGTTGCTGATTCCATGGTACGAAACACAGAAGGTCGGATGCTGTTGGTTGTTGGGGACGGAAACCCAAGTTTAGCTTATGCAAAACTCAGGGAATGTACTTGGCTCCTGTCACGCCAAAGTGTAGGGACGGCCTCGGGCGTGGCCAGACAGTGTTTCTGGCCCTGCTCTGCGCTTGTCCTCAGGCGTCTGTTCTGAGGCTGCGTGGGCGCGGCAGGGTGAGATGCCCCGGCTGTGGCTGAGCTCAGGGGTCACTGTCAGCCTCGCTCCAGCTTCCAGATTCTGGCTTGTCTCTTCCCCGACTCAGGCCAGGGCTGTGCCAAGAGACCAGCCTCCCCTGGGATCCCTCTCCAACCCCACGCCAGGCACTCCGTGCCCCACCCCTTGGGCACAAGAAGAGCTGCCCTCCTCCCTCTACTAGGGGGCAAAGGATTAATGATACTAGTGTGTGTGAAAGTAACGGCCCAACCCCCGGTTGGAAGGAGTCCTGGAGGCAGCCAGGATTCTAGATTGTTCCCTGTGGCTCCACGTGGCACATACAAACCTCACTGTCTGGTTTCTTAGGGGAGCTGATGGGGACCAACAAATCCCACTGCACCCATCAGGTCACCCAGAGGGCTCCATCCTCCAGGAGTCCGGTCATAGAAACTGAGGGACATCTCGTTTTCTTCTACAGCTTTTTAGTATTGTTCTAGGGTTGAGTTCTGTGTCAGTGTGTTTCATACTGCTGTCAAGGAGCATCAGGCCATGTCATGTATAAGACTCTTTCAGTGGGCCCTCCCTGGTCGTGCAATGGGTTAAAGCACTATAAAGCTGGCTGCAGCCACTTCAGCACAAGTTCGATCCCCGGTCCCAGAGGTGACCCACATGGCGCGGCAGACCTCTCCTTTCTCCCCGCTGCTCCCCTCAGCAGTGTACTTTGTCCATCTGCCTGTTCTACTCCCCACTCTGTCTCTGATGAATCCTCTCACCCCCT